GGACAATATTTGGCTGAGATACAACTATTTGAAAATCTGGAATCTGAGGGTGCAAAAAAATCTAAATATTGAGAAAATCATCTTTAAAGTTGTTCAAATGAAGTTCTTAGCAATGCATATTACTAATCAAACATTAAGTTTTGATATATTTACGGTAGGACATTTACTAAATATCTTCATGGAACATGATCTTTACTTAATATCCTAATGATTTTTGGCATAAAAGAGAAATGTATAATTGTGACCCATACAATGTATTGTTGGCTATTGCTACAAATATCCCCCAGCGACTTAACACTGCTTTTGTGCTGCAGGGACACATATATGATGTTTTCATTTCTTGAATGTTATAAGAGATACTTATATAACTTTTTAAATTTGGAGTGTTAAAGACATGTGTTGTGTGCGTGGGTAAGTGTGTGCTGTCTGTGGTTCTGCGTGTGTCCAGCAGAGGACAGTCTCAGCTCTGTCTGTGGTCTCTCTGCAGCCGCTGAAGGAGGTGGTGCCGCGGGTGGAGAAGGGCTATAAGATGGAGGCTCCTGACGGCTGTCCGGCCGCCGTCTATGACCTGATGAAGCAGTGCTGGACGCTGGACCCCGCAGGACGACCCTCGTTCCGTCTGCTGCGTGAGAAGCTGCAGCACATCAGAGCCAAGGAGCTGCACCTGTGAGGAACATCACTAACAAACCTTACTGTGCTCCACACTCTCTGCTGTGGACTGGACTGTTGATCTGGACGCTCTCTCGTGACCCGACACATGAGAGGAGGAACACACTGATGTGTGTGTGTGAGAGGGTGTGAGTCTGTGAGTCTGTGTGTGTGTGAGTGTCTGTGTGTGTGTGTGTGTGAGTGTGTGTGTGTGTGTGTGTGTGTGTGTGTGTGTGTGTGAGTGTGTGTGAGTGTCTGTGTGTGTGTGTGTGTGTGAGTGTGTGTGTGTGTAAGCTCAGGAGTGTAAGTTGATGTGTCTGATCGCAGGCTGTTTGTTCCTCTGTAAACCCGTTGAATCTGAGCAGAAAGGTGTGAGGGCCCTTCACATTTACGGCCCCTGAGAAGCGCAGACTACATCCTCTATCATCATCTCCAAGTGCAGTGGTGTTTACTGTAAAACACTTGATCTTAAATGACCATCACAGTTTTCCCTACAAATCTGGTGAGTAAGGATTTGTGCAAATAAAGGTTTCATTGTACCATGATGCATAATAACATCGACATTAACACCTTTTTTTTAACATCAAGATATTAGGTTAAATTTATATGAATTTTAGATGCCTTTTTTTATTGCAGCTCACTGTAATGGCCATGTGGCATTGCACATTATTATAATTTTTTTCATAAAGAATATTCCATAAAGTACCTCAATTAATATGATGCCATAAAACTTGAGAAACATAACTCTTATCCAGCAAACATTTATTTTAATTAGGTTTAGGTAAAGTATAAAATATCACAGTGCATGACACTGCTGTCATTGTCGTATAAACTTCTAATATCAAGTAAGCTAATATAAACCATAGGACGTTTACTGACCGTGACATTCGGCACTTCAAATTCAAATCAGTGCGAAGAGAAAAAGAATATTTTAAAAATATTTAAATATTTAAAAAGTTAAAATAAAAGCAACAATATGCCAATTTCTACAATTACTTGCAATAAAAAAAGGTGAAATATTTCAGTTGTAAATAAATATGTAGGCTATGTTTATTATTTCAATCTCTCCGCTGTTGCTGGCTGGATTGAGGAAATTCACACATATCAGCTTCAGGCCATCATCCACACTTCAGTCGATGGCCTCGTCCTAATGGGCGTCCCAGCAAACACCAGCTTTCTCACATGAGTATCTGGGACAACAAAAGATTAGCATTATTCGCAAAGAGTTCAAAGGCAGCGCGGAGCAGACACTGTCTCTCTTCCTTCTTTTGTTTCAAAGATGAGTTCCCGAATAGGAAAACAAGTTTGGATCAGGCTACTCTCCTGCCACGCCGATGAAAATGTTTCCATGTGAAATCATTCTAATAATATCACAGTACGCAATATTAAAAGAAGAAGAAGAAGGAGAAATAGGCTATATTATGCCCATTTAAATCAGAAGAACAGAAGTACAAAATGTGTAAAAGTAGCTAAATAAAAACAACAATAAGCATAAACCGATAAAAAGAAAAACGAAAAACAAAGTTGCTATATTCAAAAACAGTAGCCTAAATAAATGAATTGTTTAATAGGCCCATCTGAAGTTGTGCTTATGTCATTTTCTCTTTTTTATTTAATTAACACTTTATTTTAAGGTGTCTTTGTTGCTCATGTTGCATGTGTGTACTATTATAATAACAATTAATTATGCATAATTACATGCAAGTAACCCTAAACCAAACCCTAATCCTAATCCTAACCATATAGTAAGTACATGTAGTTAATTCATATTAATATTAAATAATATGGCACCTTATATAAGGTGTAACCTTTTTTTTTTTTACACAAAAGGCCTGTATCTTAAACGTTTTTCATTGACTGTGGACTTTCAAACACTTCAACGCTTTGTAATGGGCCTCTGTGAATGTCAAGAATATACTTTCCGTTTTGTGGCGACATATTATCGGGCGCGATGGGCCTGGGCTGGCGCTGCGGGTCACGCCCCGTAACAGCGGGAGCTCCGTATATCGGCCCTTTAAAAAGGCCCCGGCGCGTTAAAGGGCAGATTGAGACGCGCTGTCAAAGCATCGCAACCCACCGGGATTTAGTGATTTCGGACTTCTATTGATTTGATCGGAAATATGTCTTCCTCGAGTCCCGACCAGCGCCTGGAGCACCTCCTGAGCGCCGTGAAGAGCGAGTTTCAGGAGGGCAGCGAGAAGGGCGACGCGTCGGAGCGGGATATTAAAATTTCCCTAGAAGACGCGGAGCTATGGGGCAAATTTAAAGAGCTCACCAATGAAATGATTGTCACTAAGACTGGAAGGTAAGTTGAGATGCACTAAAACGCTTCCTTTTAATGAAAGAAGATATGCGGTTTTTGCACTTTTTTTCATGAATGCTCCTAATCTAGGCTATCTAAAAAATAAAAAAAATCTCAGACCACAGTCGGTGAAATTTCGTTAGACTTCGGTCATGGCTTGAGAACATTTTTGTAGCATCGCTATGGCTACGATCGCTTATTAGCGGTCTAATTTTGTCAACCGATAATTAGTTGATAATAATTATTGTTATCGAATTCATTGAGTTTGAATGCTATTAAAATGTTTTTGACCATGCAGTCTTTGTTTCCTCTTCTAGGCGAATGTTTCCCGTGCTCAGAGCCAGTGTCGCCGGTCTGGACCCCAACGCTATGTACTCGGTCCTGCTGGACTTCGTGGCGGCCGATAATAATCGGTGGAAATATGTGAACGGTGAATGGGTGCCGGGAGGGAAACCTGAACCGCAGAGCCCGAGCTGCGTCTACATCCATCCAGACTCACCCAACTTCGGCGCACACTGGATGAAAGCGCCCATCTCCTTCAGCAAAGTCAAACTCTCCAATAAACTCAATGGAGGAGGACAGGTAAAGGCACTCTTTAGTTCTCAACAGAGAGAAAAAAAATGCGTAAATAAAATCGCAACACAAATGCAATTCTTTCAAATAATATTAAATGATATACAGTATATATTATATTCAGTATGAAATTTCACAACCCTTATTTTTTAGATTATGTTGAACTCTTTGCACAAATACGAGCCCAGGATTCACATAGTGAAAGTCGGTGGGATCCAGAAAATGATCAGCAGTCAGTCTTTTCCTGAGACTCAGTTTATTGCGGTCACAGCTTATCAGAATGAAGAGGTGAGTGTTTGTTAAATAAAGCCTGAGATGCGTCCTGCGTAAAGAACATTTTCCTCTATATTAATTTGCTCTAATTAATTTTCAGATCACAGCTCTGAAGATCAAGCACAACCCATTTGCCAAAGCCTTCCTGGATGCCAAAGAAAGGTATGCGATTACCTGACATAATTTCTTTAGGAAATGTATTTAGATTTTATTATGTACTTATTGACATTATGAAAACTGAACTCTATTTGTTGTCACATCAACAGAAGTGACCACAAGGACGTCCCAGACCACAGCACTGACAACCAGCAGTCTGGATACTCGCAACGTAAGTAAACCAGAACTTCATGAACTACTGAAACAAACAGTGTCTTATAGCATATTTAACACATGCGTCTTCCTCCAACAGTTGGTGGCTGGTTCCTGCCCAGTAATGGGGTTACTACCCAGGAAGTTGGGTTAACCATTTAACCCAACCGCTGGGTCAAAACAGCCCAATTGTATGGGTTGTATTTAACCCAGCATTTTTTAGGGTGTACACTCTTAAAAATAAAGCTTCTTGATTTGCATCGATGGTTCCATGAAGAACCTCAAACACCCATGGAACCGTTCCATTCCACAAAAGGTTCTTTCGACTTTTAGAATGTTCATCCCACCGAGAAAAAAAAGGTTCTTTGGATTTTTAGAATGTTCTTCACACTGAAAAAAATTGTTCTTTTATGAACTATTCACTGAAAGATTCCTTGAGGAACCACATTTGTTCTTCTGTGGCATCACTGTGAAAACCCCCGTTTGGAACCAGATTTTTAAGAGTGTAGTTTCTTGGACCAGAAAGGCTTTTATTGTATATTTTGATCCATTTCTTTCCATTGATCTAGTTCTTGTGTTGTGTTTGTAGATAACTACATGGACAACTCTTCAGGAGGTTTCGCTTATCAAGATAGCTGGTCGCCCCTGCAGATGCCCAACTCCAGTGGCATGGGCACCCTGGCCCACACCACCAACACTACCTCCAACACCAGGTCAGTGCTTCCTACATCTAAACCAAGATCTCTCTAAGTGGATTCGCTGGCTAACCGTGCGTTTTCTGCATTCCAGCCAGTACCCAAGCTTGTGGTCGGTCGCGGGGACGAGCCTCACCCCCTCGGGCTCAGCATCGGGGTCCATCACGGGCGGCCTGACGTCTCAGTTCCTGCGCGGTTCCTCGGTGTCCTACTCGGGGCTGACCTCCTCTCTGCCCGTGTCCTCTCCCTCCTCGATGTATGACCCGGGCCTGAGCGAGGTCGGCGTGGGAGACGCTCAGTTTGAGAGCTCCATCGCCAGGCTTACAGCGTCCTGGGCGCCTGTGGCACAGAGCTACTGAGATCCATCAGAATGTGGCTCTCAGGACGTGATCTGAGGTGAAGATCCTACGCGTCTGCTTCCTGAGGGAATGCAGAAGAGCCGACAATCAGAAGGCCTGTGCGAAAGGAAATGGGAAACGGGTTGATTTTCTTCATTCGTATCTGTATGGTATCTTGGCACGATGTAATGACGAGAGACAATCACTTAATCATAGAGTATCTATATTTGCAAAAACCGTTTGGGGCCAATTATGGTGTTTGTTGTTCGTAATCATATTATCTGGAAGATTAATAAGAGCAAATCATGTTGTTGACTGACTAAAATGTATATGTGTGTAAATAAATAGAAATTAACTTCCATTTTGATGGTCTTACATGTGCTTTCTGTAGACGGACTTTGCTGTTTAGTTTGAAAACGGTTTGAAAAGCGACCCTGTAGCTTTGTCTACAATCCATCCTATAGAGAAATCATTTGTACATATCTATCTATTTGTATTTGTTGGACTCTTTGTGAGTTTTATTTATGTCATTTTAATAATAAATTAAAGTTTTTTCGTTTTTCTTCTGTCAAACATCTGTCAGTAGTCTTTACTTTCCTTGTATTTTTCTTAAATGCATGTATTTACTTTTGGTTTGTTACACAGATATAATTATTGTATGTCAATTAATCATTTTTAAAAAAATGATCATTTATTACCCATTTTTGCACTGACCTTTAACCTCGAAACATTTTGAGAGTTCAAAAGCTTGGGGTCATAAAGTTTTTTTTTTTTAAACTGTTGAAAGTTTAAAAACGCACACACACACACACACACACACACTGTTGTAAAAGATGTCTCTTTCAAATAAATGCTCATTTATGTTAATAATAAATTCCATTTCTTTTTTTCCCCCTGTCAAACACTTCTCGTATTTTCTTAAATATATTATTTACATTTGGCTTGTTCAAATTATTCCATTTGCAAATCTTGACACTGTAAAGAACTTTTAACTAAAATGTCTTAATTGTTCATTGGTTAAACGGTCGTTTCCTATGAAACAGCTTAGTATCGATGGCAGGTTTGAAATATTTGCTTGTTCAAAATACATTTTAGCATTTATTCTTTCTAAATTACCCATCAACCATTAATAATCTGAAAACATACACGTTTTTTTCAGGTCTTTCTCTACACAAATATGTCTAGCCACTTCAAGTCTTCTTACGGTTCTGTTAGTTCATGTTTATTGTCATCTTGTTGAGATATTAATTTCAGTGGTGCATAATCAGGCCGGCGGGTTCAGTAAATTCATCAGCAGGAGGAAGCTGATTCTTGATTTGAGATGAAGCTTGTGAGTTTGGATGAGTTTGGATGTGACGAGCAGCAGCAGGTGTGTGTTAAGATCTGTGTGACACATGCTCAACACATCGCAAGAATAAAAGAGAGAAAACATCAATAACAAAACGCAGCTGATCCCGACTTCAGTGAGAAATTTAAAATGACAAAACATAAAAAATAATAATAATGTCATATTCTAAATAGGAAGTGACACATTCACAAACATAATATAAATGCTGCACACAATTGCATTTTAACACATTTGTTTTTTTCATATTTGTGTCGTACTTCTTTTATGTATATTGTTTATTATTATTATTATTATCATCTGTTTCAATAATACTAGTAATAATAAAACAATACTAATATACTACTATTACCACAAATAATAATTATTTTATTAGTAATAGTATATATACAATATATCGTTTTATTCTTTTTTATTTTAATTACTATTATTGCTATTAATAAAATCAACATTAATAATACTAATACACAGAACTACTACTATTAATGCTACTACTACTACTTCTACTAATACTAATAATTATAATTTTAATATGAATTAATATAACAATAAATTATAATAAACAGCTTAAAAGAAACATTAATAAGTGGCTTCAAAAATACCTCTAGTAATAACAAAAACAATGCTAATATTAATAATACTAATTAGTAGTAGTATATTATATAACGTATTGTTGTTATCATTTGTATATTTATTATTATTAATAATAATGATTAAAAACAATATAATTGTAAAACACTACTATTAATGCTACTACTATTTAATATTACAATTAATAATAATTGATGTTATTATTAGTAATCACTACTACTACTACTTCTAATTATTATTAATGTTGTTGTTATTATTAAACACATATATTAATAATACTGCTAAATAATACATATATATATATATACACACACACACACAAACACACACGTCTCTGTATGATGTGTGGCAAGACTGAGAGAGCTGCTGAGGTCACTGCTCACTGACAGCGCTGGAGATCTGCGCTCTGAGGCTGTGATTGAGCACTCAACACCTGAGCGTAAATGAAGACTGAGGGTCACAGGGCCACAGGCAAACAATAATGAAGGGGCCACTTAAATGTATTGAAATATTGTTTAAGTGTACTGTCAAGCCTTTATGTTAACATAAAATATACTGTAATGTAATTTCTATTGAAACCTGTATGCCATCTATTTAACTACATTTGTAATTACACATTTGTAATGATGAAGTTGCAATTCAATATACAGTAGTCAACATCTAAAGTGGAATAAACAAGATAAGAACGCATTTAGGTTTTAGGACAACTTTGATGAAAGGTTTTGATCCACTTCAAATGTTGACTACTATATTTGAAATATATCATCTTTAAAACACACTACAGTTCAAAATTTTAATCAGGTGCATTAGATGTGCTTTAAGTTAGTCAACACATCAAAATAAAGACAAAAAGATTATTAATGCATAATGATTTGAAATGTATACAGTAAAACTTTTCATCTGACATTATTATAAAATGCTCCTTTTAAAAGCATTAAAGTCTGTCCTCTTTAAGTACACTTAAGTGTCCTTTTATTTAATTAATATTATATTATATGCATGCATATTAAACATATGTTGAAGATTTGAAGTTCACTACAAGTGCACATTCAGTACAATTAAGTGCACTTCTTTTTCAGAAGGTCAGAAATCGGAGAAAGATAACAGGAACCTAATGTGATTTTAAGCTTCAGATCGATGTTGTGAGTTTGTTCTGTTGGCGATCTAAAAGTTCTACTCAGTATTTGTCACTTTGAAAGACTACACTTGAATTACTACCTTCAATTTGGCAAAACAGTGTTTTCGCCTGAATGAGTTACACTAAATGCTCCTTAACATTTTTGTTTTTGGAAGAAACAAATCCATCAAGATTTTGGAGAATGGACTTATTTGAACTCGAAATGTCTTAATGATGGATTTGATTCTTACAAACACAGCTTTTCACTTCACATGACATTAACTGATGGACTAGAAAGGTGTGGACTACTTGTGGATTATAGTGATGCTTTTATCAGCTGTTTGGACTCTCATTCTGACGGCACCCATTCACTTCCATTGCTGAGCAAGTGACGTAACGCTATATTTCTCTATGAAGAAACAAACTCATCTACATCTTGGTAGATGAACTATTTCTTTCAAACATACTCCTCTAGTGATCAGTGTCAGTCAAGGGTTTCTGATTTCCCCGAGGTGCAGAATAGCAGCACGTGACAGTGAATGTTACAGAGGCCTCGTTTTCCATCGACGAGTCCAAAGCGTCTTCGTTTCCCGGTATCGGTGCAGTCAGGGCAGATGAGTGCATGACTGGGTAAACACTTGGGTTATAATGGCGAGTCTGAATGCGAGGGCCTGTGGATGAGTTATGGGTCCCTGCTGCCAAAAACAGGTCGTCAAGTCTGGAGCGGCCCGTCCTAGAGCTGTGTTTGCCCATCATCTCTCTTGCCTTTCACCCCCACACAAACCCACCTCGCCCTCTGATGTCTGTGTGCCTTCGTTAATGAAGAAATTCTCGTACCTGGGTGAGACATAGCTGTCAGCTGAGCTACTCCAGCTCTCTGTCCCGGGCCAAGCAACGTCCACCCAACCACCCACAGCAGTCCCAAATAAAACAGGCTTTACTACGTCTCTCAGAATAACTGATGAAACAACACAAAGCAGATCTCTTTAATATTTTATATTAGACAGCAGTGAGATTAAATCGAGAGCACTCTTTTTGCTTGAGGAACTTCGGTCACACTTTAGTTTGGGGACCAGTTCTCTCTATTAACTATGCCTCAGTAAACTCTTAATTTGCTGCTTATTAAAAGTTAGGAAGGTAGTTGTTAAGTTTAGATGTGTTTAAGGGATCTAAAATATGGTCACACAGAACAAGGCATTAATATGTGACTTTATAAACCGCCAATATGCTACAATATGCATGCTATAAGCAACTTAATAGTGAGAACTGGTCCCTAAATGAAAGTGATAGCACATATTCATATAGAGACAGATTTGTCTGCGATGAAAAGTTCTCAACAGAAACTCAAACCCTTCTTGTCAAATTATCAAAATAACCATTGTTAAAAATAAGAGTATTTATTACAGAAATAATATACTTTAAAATGCAAACTGAACGTAACGCTTTCAGACACTTAAATGCATGTTAACGTATTAGGTATTAAATGTATATTATATAAATTATCTGAACATTATAGAGCTTTTTTGACCCACTTAAGTAGGACTTAAACACATCAAAATAAATGCACTTCTTTAAACACAACGACAGATTATAATATTAATAACCTACATTTTAAGTTGTTCGTGTATTAACAACAAACACAATTTAACAATGCAATTTATAATACTAACTTATTAATAAATGCTGTACAAATATTGCTCATGTCAGTGTTAGTGAAGATACTTTATGCAATAGCTATTGTTAAGGAATTGCCAATTATGTATTTATTTACTACAAACATTTGACAAGCCGGTTTATGGAAAAAAAAGAGAATAAGAATGAAAAAGCTTTTAGGTTGCAACTGCCTAGGCGTCTAGAGTTCACTAAATCGTTGGTCGTCTTCTTCAAAAATGAAAATAAATAAATAAATGGTTGTGTTAAACATCATCCAATGTCTGTCTAGCATTTTGACCGAGTGAGCTGTGAAAC